CTTTCTCCAAAAAGTTAGCCAGTGTTTGACTCAGGGAACTGCATGGAAGATGGCTGTGACTGCATAACCAAGCAGCAAGCACCATAGGTGGGTGGGTGGCTTACAAAAAATAATCAGATGCTGTGCCTCACCTCACTCTTAGCAATGGACCTGTCCAATCACCTCCAGTTCCTCATTGGATTGCCACTGTTGGCTTCTTCCAGAGTGTGCATGTAGCTGCAAAACAGATAACCTTTGTTGGCTCAAGAGTTGCAACTGACTTACAGTTGATAACAAAGACATGTACATGGGGAAAGTGTTCCTCTTCCTGTGAATCCAGCAGTGTGAGTGTGTGTGGGGTGGGGTTGGGGTTGGGCTTCTTATCCAGGGGTGTGGTGTTTGCCTCCCTTGTCTTCTCTTTGTCAAAACTATTAGCCATGAGCATGCTGATGCCTTCGTCTCATCTGGGGGTAAACCTAAGCAAAATGTGTGTTCCTGTGATTAGCCTTTCTCCTCCTCCCACAGTCAAAGCTACATATTTGGGCAATTACAAAATGAAGAAAGTTGGAATAAAAGATGTAGGAACACGTGAAAGTGTGTGTTGTGATAAATATACATCTATCGCCAGGTAAGAAAGTACTTATTTTAATGATGGCTAAACTGGATCATCTTGTTTGACCTTAGGTGGCTCCACTTTGGCCCCAGATATCTCATTACTGGGGTCCTCTGCTTATCATTAGGCAGATGATATTGCATCTATGTATAATGCAATAGGATGTTAAATAGGAAATACTCAATATATAATCCCATTTTGAAGTATAACGTGTTTTGATATTCAGAATTGGCAAGACACTGACAATCTCAAATTAGCTATTGCGCTGTTCAGAAATAATTATGTGTTATACGTTGTCATATAGAAATTATTGACTTCCTCTTAATCGAGGAAAGATTATCATTGCATTCACACAAAGTATAATGCCAGGATTTTAACATATTCCAGATTACTGCAAACTAGATAAACGCTTCTGAAAACAACCTGGTTTGTTTTTTTTCTAATCCTCACCCTGCTAAAGCACCTAAATAAAAGTGATCAAGATTTGCTGAACTTGGGATTTTGGCTTGTTGGTGATAAACAAATCAGGATTTATAACATGAAGTTCCAGTTTGTAATCCTGATTTGTAAAGAGGGCAACAAACTAGGATCCAGGAGTGGCTCTAACACTAGACAAAACGAAGCAGATGCCTGAAGCAGCAAATGGCGAATAGTGCGGGTAGTGTAGCAGCCCCTGACTTTTCCCATTTTGTAACAAGGAAATGTGTATATCAGGTAGCTTGGCCTAAACCCATTAAGCTAGTGTGCCACTTTCAGATGCAGTAGAGGGTGCTGCTTCAGCATTAGTAGGAAGTAGAATAGTGCCCTGCCATTCTGTAGATGGAGGGTGCTATTTTGTCATTTGCCTCTGGCAGAAAAATGTTAGGGGACCTGCTGTTCTGGGTCATTTGGATGACACACTTCAAAAACCATTTCTGGCTAACTGAAGCATAAATTGTACCATAGTTCCTCTGCACCTGGTAGATTTGGTTCAAAACATTCTGCTTCCAAAAATGAAGGAGAAAATGGCACCTTTCATTGCCCCAATGGGAGCTTGTTCATAGCAAGCTAGGATTTGCCGGAGTTCTGGCTTACAGTTTTGTGTGAGTACAGACAATAGTTACTGCTTTTACCTCTGTATCCTCAAGTTTTGTGTTAACACATTTCAGATGCAGCTGTTTAGGCCCCTTAAGTGGCTTGTGTGGATGAGGAAAGTTCTCACGTCCAACTGAGGGACTGTTACGGGAGTTTATTCTGCACTGCATTTGGCCATGTCTTCCTTGTGATTCCATATGAAGAATTTCTAAAATAAATATTGCAACTGGAGCGTGTAGAGATTGCTGCAAGTTTTTGTTATTTTTTGTTTTATCAAATCAAAAGTTCTTTTGATTTTAAGCCTCATGTGATTGCGGGCACTGGTAGGTCTCAGTGATAATTCCTTAAAGACCACTCACTTTATGTGGAATTTATTTTGCAGATAGCTTCCATTGTTATGGTTATTAGCAAAGGTTCATTTGCAAACACTACAAACACCACAACCTATCTGTAAAATATGCATGCACTCAAAAGTATTTTTCTTAAAAATCAGGTTAATTGCTCTCAAGCTGTCATATTAACTTACATCCAAATGAGACACAAAGTCCTAAAAATGTATTTATGCTTCAAAGTGGGTGTGCTGTTGTCAGTTTACTGAGAGAAATATTTATTTATTCAGATAGTTTCCTGTTTGTTTGTTGTGGAGGGGTGTTGGTTTCCAATTTATTTTTTGGGTGGGAAGTATCAACATTCTTATGGCCTGTCAAATCTGTTGGCAGGCAGTTTTATGCAGTAGTGTTTGGTCAGTTGCTTAGGGACCGTCCTAAACACCATCTTGGTTTTGTTAACTTCAGTTCTGTGGTTTTCCAGTTTCGAAAGGCAAGGCCATGTTCAGTAACATGCAAGCATGTCTTGGAGGGTGGGGGGAACCTTGCATATGAAATCAATTCAGAGTGTTTTCAGAAAGTTTTAAAAATCCCAGAGACTTTTGAGATTTATTCTTTTGTTGTGCAGCCACAGTTAAAGTCGCAGGGTTCATCAGTATAAACATCACAAGTTTCTGTCTTGCAATGGCACCAGGTTCCACATATATTGAACTTTGGTATTCAAGGAGAAATCAAATATAGGGCCTAAAGAAATCAGGGTGTTTCCTAGGGCAGTTCATAAAGCAGGTGTGCCTTTATACCAATTGTTTGAGGGCAGGATCACCTCATTTGCTCAAGTCACAAGTTACCTGTGGCATCTCCACACAGACAGCTCCTAGCACTATCAGTTAAGAATAACTGAGCAGCTGTCTGCATTTCTCCCTCCACCCCTGCTTTTAAGGAAAAAGAAGGAGAAAGTAGTAGAGAATCAAGGGTGGGTTCCAAATGAAATAAAGTGTCTATATTTGAGGCAGAGTGGTTGCAATATAAATTTCTCAACCGGAAGTACCCCTACTTTTCAGTAATTTATGATTTCAGATTAACTGTTTCTTTGTATGTGAAATTACAAATTGGCACCTGTAAGATCAGAGGCAGCTTCTGCTACTGGAGCTGCCTGCAAACAAATTCACAGCTATCTCTGCCACTGCTGACTCTTAGAACGTGATAGTTGTTTGTGTTTGTCTGGGCTGTACAATCTCACCCACAAAAACCAACAGAGATCTAATTGGAAAACCTTCACGTCAAAGTGGTTTTTCCCTGATGTATAGTTACATCTGTAGTGAACAGACAGGGAGGTAAAGGAGGGAAGACAGGAAGGTAATCCATTACTTTGGTATTTACTTTAACAACTTTTCAAAAATTGCAAGTGGTTGTTGTCTCCCATCCTCTGCATCCCATATTTTTCTATTGTGTTTTATAAATCTTTCTTGGGTGGTTTTCCTTCTCATCTTCAAATATCTTTGTCATGCATGCATATGAGAGCTGCACTTCAACTAATGGTTGCTACTTGGACCTGAAAGCTAGTAGCATATAGAGGTGGTAGCAATAGCAATAGTTAGTGTGACTCAGTACAGTAGGTTGAGTACGCCTAGGTTAAAATCCTCACTCAGTTTGAAATCTAACTTCGTGACATTGGGTTGTTTATTGTCTCTGAGTCTAACCCCATCAGGTGGGGTTGTTGTGAAACTACTGTACGTAGGTGAAAGGAGAGAAGCATGTATGTAGTTTTTTTCGAAGATAAGCTATAACTTTAAGCTGGTAGTTCTTCCTTTTTCTGGAATGGGTCATTGATCCCTTTAATAATCATACAAAAGGTGTGAAAAGCTATGGAAGCTCTCCCCAGAAAAATGCATCTGAGGAAATACCCTCAACATTCTTCATTTCTTTTCTGTTTTGTCAGGTTCATGGCCCTATGCAAAGCCTTAAGATCAGCTTAGCAGCTATGTTTGTGTGTGTGTGGACAGAACATGCTTGATGGGTACGGAATGCTGTCTTCCTCAAGGGAGGAATATGAAAACACAGTTCAGAATGGAGTACAATAGAAAAGGGTGTGGCTCGCTGGAACTTTGAATTTCATATCAGGAACCAAATTTGGGGGCAAGAGAAAGGTAGTCTAGTCACTCTAGTGCAAAGCAATCTAGGCTGCAACCATATTACAGTGAAGAAAAAGAGGGAACTACATCGTACATAATTCTTGATGATACTTATAAAAACATATTTCCTTGAAACTATGTATGTATCATTGGCACAGAATCTTCTGTTCAGTTGACAAACTAAAAACCAGGATTTTTTTAGAAAATAAACTTTTGTAGTTACCAGCACCCTGCCTGAATTCGTTTTCCTAGGAAATTAGTATATTAGCTGAAGGCAGAAAGAACCCCCAAAGGTGCTTTAAACAGAAGACAGACAGACAAATGCTTGCATTTCCTTTTAAGTGAAGGAAATCATATCCTATTTGACCAAACCCAAACAACATCAGCATTTGTTTGTTAGAGTAAGTGTTATCTCTTTTTTTATCTGATCTTTGTTTAACTACACTTTTAAAATGTCTGTTTCCCATAAAACTTTAGCCAAAGAGAAAATTATTGACCTCATGGGAACTTTGCCAATTATTAGTTTGTGGGTCATATGATGTAGCCTTATCTGGTGTTGTCTGTAAATAAAATAAGTACCTTCAGGTTATTATGAAAATGTGTGTGTGTGTGTGTGTGTGTGTGTGTGTGTGTGTGTGTGTGTAAAAGCATACATATTTTACTGTTCATACATATTTTCTCACCACTGGGAGTTTGTTCTTGTAGAGTTGTCCAAATAGGATGCTACTTCGCAAGGAGACTATCTGACAAGTCATAATTTAAACACAATCTGGACATTACTACCTAGTTTCTCATGGCAGATCCCATGACCCTCTTGAAGCTACTACTTCTCTGTGGATTTTCTTCAGAGACTGACTGACTTTATTCTCCTTTCAGAAATTGGTCCTGTAACAATTACCACAGATCCGAAGACATTTCAGTATGAACTCAGGGAGCTCTATGTTCAGGTGAGTGGGCCTGTTTACTCTGTAAAGGCAGATTAAGTACTGAGACAGTGCTGTTCCAGAGAATGCCTTCTGTATGTTTCCCCATTTAAAAAAACCTTTTATTGTCTATATCGTATTTTGTTTATTCATTTATTAAAATGTTTGAAAACATTATTTATTTATTTCCCTTATTCATGGAGAGACCAGGTAATGTATAAATACAGTTAAAACATTAAAATTAAACTATAAAATCTCTGAACAAATCCATCAGAAAAAAAAAATGAAGAAACAGAATAGAACAAATTTGCCAATTAAAATGCCTGGGCAAAAGAAGAAAGTGTAGTGTTGGGATAGATACTTCTCAGCAGTGATAGTATTTCATAGCTGGGACTGAGAAGGGCTCTCTCCCTTGTTTGTAAATGGTCTGCCTCAGACAGCTAGGAAACAGATTATTCTAATAGTCTTAAGCCACATCAAACTGACACATCAGGGAGGAAGGTATAATACTAGTTTATTTCTTCATGTTCTAGTTTTGTATAGACAGCTCAATAACGTTGGGGAACATTAAACAAAAAAGCATCCCACCTCTGGTCATGAATGATAGAAGCCTAAAATTCCCAGTTAGAGTAGACCTATTGAACCAATGGAACCTGTCTAAATGTTGACTTCCCAGAGTCTTATTGATTTAGCAGGTCTTGTCTAGCTGAAACTAACTGGTTTTAGTCCACTGTTTCTGTGTCAACTTATAATTCTTTTTTTAGGAACAGTGTGTGGCTTTTAAAAGATGATTGAAGAAATAGGTGAATCCAAAGAGCCAATTTTTAAAAAATTGTGCATTTAATTTTATCCAGTTCAGGGAATTTATTGGTTTCCAACACAGCACCTGCTCCCCTCCTCTATTGTCACATTGTTAGTTGGTTATGTGTCTTCAAAGCCAGAGACTGGGAATTCAGTTCCCCACTTTGAATCCTTCAAGAGCCAGCCTGTATGGCATGGGGCAAGCTACACAGTCTCAAGATGCCCCTAGAAGATGAAGATAGCCTCTAAGGACATGTGCCACCATGGTTGGTCTGTGGGCAGACATCAGGTGGCTAGTCTTCACTGAACCAAGTCCCATGTTGTTTAAAAGAAGCCTCCTGTTAGCTTGATGGGGGACCAAAAAGCTGGGGATATTTATATTCATAAATGTGGACCTAAATGAGGATCTGACCTGCAGGACCGACCATCCAATCAAACATCCCAGTACCACCACTTTTCCTGCCAATGGCACCAGGAGCTCTGCTTTCTCTCTACTCAGCTGGCCACCCAGCAGCCGTGTGAGGAGACTCATCCTCCTGCCCCCGGCCTGGAGTGGCCAGCTGAGCAGAGAGATAACAGAGCTTCTGGTACCACTGGTGCCAGGACACGTGAGTGGATGGCTGGTCCTGGGGGCAGGACCCTCATTAGGTCCAGCTGAGATGGAGATTTTCGTATTTGTTTATGAATAGAAATATCACCATCTCTACTGGCAGCTTGGTTTCTCCCATCCAGCAAATCTCCAAACCAGATGTGAACACAACACAGCCCTTTAGATACTGTTTAATTTCAACTCTCAACATTGCTCATAATTGGCAGTGTTAGCAGATAGGATTTGTAGTCTGGCAACATTTGGAGAGCTGTATTCCCAATCTCCTACTCTTGGCTCTTCTGAAGCTAGTTTCGTTACCAGGGATATTTCTTGATCAGTACAAGGCTGTGTATAGACTACCACAGAGGACATGTAGTTCAGGCAGGAAAGGTATGTCATCCTGAAGGGTTCAAGTGAGACAGTCTCCTTCCTTGGGCCATGAGTTGCTCTTGTGTACTGAGATTTTAGGGAGGAAGAAATGGTTTTGCTTGTATATATTCTTTATATTACACAAAGAAAGGCAGTTAGTACATTTTTTTTCTGTCTGTTGTCTAAATAAACCCAATTATTCCATTGCTATTACATTTTTTAAAACTATAAAAAAACTCCCAACATTAAATTAAGTGGCATGGAAAGCTGTAGTATTTTTAATTTTAAAAATTTTTAAAGTATTTTTTAAGTGGTATACTTCTTTGTGTGGCTCTGGAAAAAAGCAAACCCCCCCCGAAGATTGTGAAACAGAAATGAAAGAGAGAACAAAAGAGAAATATAGCTTAATTAAAAAAGGCATAGGAACTGCAACATAAAGTTCAGAGACAGATTTATGCTGATGGGAAAGAGAAAAACAACAACATGTTTTTCATTAGTTAAAGAGAAAAAGAATTAATGTCATAATGTAATATCAGAATACTGAAGCAGTGGAACAATTTTCCAAAGGCGGTTTCTGAATAGACTTCACTGCTGAAATCATTGCAGATGAATTTGACAAACCCGCTGATTAGGGTCATTTAGGGATAATGCAACAGCTACGTAAGTATGCACTATATATGTCTGTGGAAAATATGGGTTATAATGCTATTGCAGAAATGTAGCATTCTAAGTGTCCTTTTAAAGAAAAGAGGTACACAAGCCAGTGCAGGAGTACAGATAAATGTACACACAAAGAGGACACACAGCTATACTAGACATGTAAATTGGTGTAGAACAGCTTCCCCTTTCTGGTTACCTCCAAGGTATTGGACTATAACTCCTATTACCCCTGCACTATGGGAATTATAACCTAACATATCTGCAGGGCCTCAGATTGAGGTAGGTTGGTTGGTTTTGAGCATGCTTTAGACTCTCTTGATATTCAAACTAAAAATTCATGCACATGCATTCACTCATTGGTGAAGAGTTGTGTGAGGAGCTGGCACTCTTGAGCAATTCCTTCTCAGCAGCATCAAAGAACTGTAAGCCCCCCAAATATGTCTGAGGGAAGCCCAGCACACTCAACACTGTTTTCAAAGAGGGAGTACTGTAGATATTAAGCAGACTGAAATCTTGATAGCATCTGTTACATACAACACTTTTGCACTTTTATACTGTATGACAAATGAAGACATTAACCCAGGTTATAGAATGTTTTGGTGAGATGTCATAAAAATATTTTGGCAAGTTTTGTGAGATGTCATAACCCAAGCAGATGCTCTCCAGGTTTGTTGGGTTGTGGACATGATGGCTGAGCTTAATGGGAGCTGTGGTTGAACACATCTGGAAGGTACGTCTTCAGAGGTCTGTTTTACAACTAACTAGTAGTGATTCTAGCAAGCAGCTCCTGGTGGATCCCAAGAGACTTCCTATCTCCTAGAGTTGTTTCCTCCTGTTCTAGAGTTACCTGATTGTTTAGGACCCGTATCAGACGAAAGGCCAAGGATTTGAGATGACAGTCCATGAAGGGAACCAGTACAGACAGCAGAACTGCCTTGCTGAATTTGACTCAGCCTAGTTCACTGTGCCCAGCAAGGATCGGTTGGGTGGCCAGTCAGGCTCTTCTAAAAATGCCATGACATAAAAATAATGTTTACTTCTTGCTCTTTAGTCAGTCTGTTAGATATTCAGAAGAATACTGCCTTTACTTTAAACCTTTAAACCTGGGTAATTCATTAACTAGTATGACTAGTAACTATTGAGAATTCCCTTTATTTATTCTACACATTTTTAAAAAGCTATCCAAGGCATTGCAGCAACTGCATCTTCTTTTGATCATGAAATCTGTCAGATGCATCTGCAATCAAAGTGCTGGCTTTTAACCTAGGAAACCTGCCCATAACATTACTTACAGTAATAGGTAGTCTTGCAGGTTTTTTGTTGCGTTTTAGACTTCATTCTTTCGTATGTGCAGCAGGAATAACTAAGGAAAATAACAATAAATATTTAGCAAAAGGAGGTTTTGTGGAATTATGATATGGTGCATAAGAAGCCAAACTCAAGGCGGTGTAGTCATTTATCAAAGGCAGCACTTTCTTAAAATAGCAGGAAAAAATAATAAGGCTGTACTGATTTGACCCTTAAGACAGAAAAACCTTGCCAATTCACATGAATCAAAGGTTTTTCTTTTCAAAATGGCTCTTTCCCATTTACTTTCTGGCTGGTAGACTTTTTATACTTGGCCTTCCATTCTAAAATCAGAAGCTACATTTTGAATAGCCTCCCAAACAGTAGTATAAAAAAAGGTGTGAGGATACATTTAATTTTGCAGGAGGGAGGCAAGGTGATTCTGCAGTTGTGGAAGCACAGTGTTGTTTCTCCCTGACCCTGTGGACACACAAAATCCTAAAGTATGATGCGATGCTGTCCAGAGGTGTCCCAGATGTTTTCCATCAAGCCAAGCCCAAACACCAAGTGGTAACAGGCCACAGGAGGTATTAGTCTGACACTATGTGATGGCCATGTGTTCTTGCCTAATAAATAGTTAGAGCTTTGCAAGTTTCAGTTCAAAGTTGCAGACCGTAGGCTGGAGAACAGAACATCCATTCCTTGTCAGGATTTGGGAATTGCTACTCTCCAATGTTGTTTGAAATTCTGTTACTATGAAATTACAATTTCACTGAAGAATCGTAATTATGTAAGGCAAAACCTCGCCAGAACTGTTCAGTTTGCATGCTTAAATCATGAATATCTGCATATTAAAACAACAGAGGGAAATTTAGAATGTTTCTGTTCTTTAAATTGATTAACTTGGATTTGTGTTTATTTTTTTACTTCCTCATTTGCCAATTATGAACAGGGTGGTGGTGACTGTCCAGAGATGAGCATTGGGGCTATCAAAATTGCTCTAGAAATATCTCTTCCTGGTTCATTTATCTATGTATTCACTGATGCACGGTCTAAAGACTACAAACTGGCTCATGAAGTACTGCAGCTGATTCAACAGAAGCAGTCGCAGGTAGGAAACATCTTATTCCAGGTATTTCAGACCTCCACATGTTTAATTTTCATTCAGCTATTCCAGTGAAATGTATCACAATGTGGGTAAAATACTAATAGGCAGTGGAAACCTATCCACGTCTAAATGTTACTGGGTTTAATAGAGCTTAACATCCAGTTAAATCTATGCAGAATTGTGAGCTGAGTTACACAATTTGCATATTTATTTATTTGTTTGTTTAGGTTTTATACTGCCCATCTAACCAGTGCACACTTTGGGTGGTTTAAAACACAATGAAACATAGAAATAATATAATAAAGTGCTCCAAATTAAACTAACTTACATTAAATAACAAGGATTTAAACAAACTAAAATTTAATTTGTTTATTTATTTATTTATTTGATTTGTATCCCACCTATCTGGACTACCAGTCCACTATACAAACAGTACAAATAAATGATTGCTATGAAAACAAACAGTACAAATAAATGATTGCTATGAATAATTAACCAGGTCCGTACAATATTAGCATATAAAAACATAAAATAAAAATATTTTAAAGTGCAATGGTTCTGGAAGTGAACGACTGGCCGGCTGTATCCTGTTGTCTAGGGGATTTATATATGTACTCACAATGTATTTGTGAAGATTCTCAGTCGTCCAGGTATGGTTATCTGGAAGTTGAGTCATGGTAACATGGTTAAAATGTTGCACTACTCATCCAAGCAGCTTCTTCAGTCTGAAGAAGCTACTTGGATGAGTAGCGAAACGTTTCGACCTAACAAGAAAGAAGTCTAGTTGCCATGACTCAACGTCCAGATGTACTCACAATGCTTTCCGGCTCTTCACTCATTTCATGTCTCCTGAGCTTAGGAAACATGACTTGGAGTTTGTCCCTGGATAGGTAGGGGAATTGTTGTTATGTGCTGTCAAGTCACCCCCAGCTTATGATGACTCTATGAATGAGCAATCTCCAGAATGTCCTGTCCTCAACAGAGCTGCTCAACTCTTGCAAACTCGAACTTGTGGTTTCCTTTTACGCAGTCAATCCAAGTCATATTTAGTCTTTTTCTTTTTGTGCTCCCATCAACCTTTCCTAGCATTATTGCCTTTTCCAGAGACTCCTATCTTCTCATGATGTACCCAAAGTATGACAGTTTCAACATTTTTGCCTCCAAAGTTAGTTCAGGCTTGATTTTATCTAGGACCCACATGTTCATCTTTCTGGAAGGTCAGGTTATCTAGGAAGCTCTCTTTCATCACCACAATTGCTACGAATCAATTTCTTTTTCTGCCACCTTTTACATGGTGATTGAAAACATGTGGATGAACTTGGCCTTCGTCTCCAGTGACACATTCTTACACTTGATCTTTTCTATTCCTTCACTTTTGTCCTTCTGAGTTTCAGCCATCTTCTGATTTCTTGGCTACAGTCTCCAGTTGGATTGATGATTGAACCAAGGTATCTAAAATGTCTGACCATTTCAGTGTCTTCATTGTCAGAATTAAAGTTGTGTATTTCTTCTGTAGTCATATTTTTGTCTTCATGTTTAACTGAACTTCTGCTTTGGCACTTTCTTCTTTCACTTTCACTAAAAATTGTTTCATGTCATTGCTGCTTTCTGCCAGTAGGATGGTGTCATCAGTACATCTGAAATTATTGAAGTTTCTTCTGCCAGTTGTCATTCCTTCATCTGAATCTAGTCTGGTTTTCCTTATGATATATATCTGTGTATAGATTGAACAGATGACAGGATAAAATACCTTGTCTGCCTCCTTTGCCTATATCATTCTTTCTCTCCATATACTGTCCCAACAGTAGCTTCTTGTCCACAATGCAAGTTACACATCAGGACAATCAAGTGCTGAAGCACACCCATTTGTTTCAAAACAACCCATAGTTTCTCATGATCTATATAGGCCAAGGCTTTTCTGTAGTCTGGAAAGCATGGACTGATTTTCTTCTGAAATTATTTGGTGCGCTGCAGTAGCTAGCGGATATTTGTAATAGGATCTTGAATGCCTTTTCAGATTCCAGTTTGCATTATAGGCACTTTTCACTCCATATGAAGGAAAACCTTTGTTGCAACATCTTGAGCATCACTTTGCTTGCATGGGAAATTAAAGCAATGGTCCTATAGTTACTGCATTCCTTGGCATCGCCTTCCTTGTGAATTGGAATGTATATATAGTTTCCAGTCTGTGGGCCATTATTTTGTTTTCCATATTTGTTGGCATATTCTTGTTAGGATTTGGACAGATTCATTCCCCATGGCTTGAAATAGTTCTATTGGTATTATATCTCCCCTTGGTTATTTATTTCTTTCTAGTGCTTTCAGGTCAGCTTTCACTTCACTATCTAGAACTGCAGGTTCTTAATCATAGGACTCCTCTTATTATAAAGAGCAGTCTAATAGTAGAAAGTAAAGTGTTACAGTGTCCACGTTTGTACCTCTGTGTTTAATTTAAATCTTTGTTTGGCAATTCAGCTGGGGGAATAAACTTATGATTTATGAAACCATGTAATTATATGAGGCACTAATGAATGTTATGTGGTTTATATAGCTGTCAATATGGTATTCTTCTGAAAGTTATTACACTAATTACTTAAAGCTTACAGTATTAAATAAAGTTTATCCTTTTAATTGCCTAGTGCATTTCCTTCAGCTAATTGATTTCTGATGCTTTGCTTTTCCTATTCTATTCCATATGATGACCACTTATATACATACTTTTTTCCTTGATCATATAGGTTGTATTTGTCCTAACAGGAGACTGTGATGACAGAGCACATATTGGTTACAAGGTCTATGAAGAAATTGCCTCAACAAGCTCTGGTCAAGTTTTTCACTTAGACAAAAAGCAAGTCAATGAGGTATGGAAGAATGAATTTCTCATATGAACCTTTCTGGTGGTATAAAACACTGAATCTCTCTCTCTCTCTCTCTCTCTCTCTCTCTCTCTCTCTTTCTTTTTTTCTGTCTGTCTCTCTGTCTTTCTGTCTGTCTGTCTGTGACATGAAACAACTTTTGTATTCTGTCTTTTGCCCAAGTTGTGATTATATTTTATCAAGCTGTAATAGAGGTAAGGAATAGCTTGTCTGCTCCCTGTTAATTTTGCATATGTGTGTTCTTTATGTCCATTCTTTGCATTCCAGTATGCACTACACATTTGATTTTAACCTTATTTTTATCAGTTTGGCCACCTCCTAAGACAGGTGAGTGCCAAGCTTTGCTATATCCTGATACTTACCTTCATTTTGCCTTATTTTTGGATTTTTGACTTTGTTTTTTAAAACAGAGAGACTGCCTGTTCTGGGTGAGTACACTGTATTTACTGTACAGGGGTTTTGCAGCTTGGGGTTGGGCTAGGTGGCTAGGTGGGGCGGGGTTATGTTTCTCTACTGGCTATTGGTTTTAAAATCAGAAAACTGTTTGCAAAGGTTTGGCTGTTGTCCTCTAAAATGCATTTTAGTCTTTTGGTTTTAAAATTCGAAAACTGTTTGCAAAGGTCTGTCTGGCTGTTGGCCTCTAAAATGTTTAGACTCAAGTCTACCCCCCCCCATTGTCTTCTCTCTCTCTGTCTTCTCTCTCTGCTTAAAAACACAAACCTTTGTCTGAGGGGTCTGTGTGCCCCAGGGATTACCTTTCTTTCTTTCTTTCTTTCTTTCTTTCGTTCTTTCGTTCTTCTTTCTTTCTTTCTTTCTTTCTTTCTTTCTTTCTTTCTTTCTTTCTTTCTTTCTTTCTTTCCCCCATTATTCCCTCCCTCCTTTCCTGCCCCTTTTTAACCTACGTTCATCTTAGGTTAAAAGAAGAAAAATTCTCCTCCTAGTAGTAGAGGGCAGATTAACCGGTTTTTGACTTACAAACCGTGCTTCAACATAAGAACAAAAACAGCTAGAATGGATTAATTGTGTTTCAATGCATTCCTATGGGAAATGATGATTTGACTTATGAACGTTTTGACTTACGAACATATTCTGGGACAGATTAAGTTCATAAGTCAATGCACCACTGTATATGTAACTACAGATATATATAGTATGGGTACACAGATGGAAAAAAGAAGAGCAATTGAGTTAAATGTTACTGAAATGCAAAACAGACCTGCTGTGAACATTCATTTGAATTGAACATATATAAAATAAGCATGGTGACTATTCACAATAACAATAATTGGTAATATTGGAATCATCCTGGTATTGTGTGATAGTGTAACAGGGTAACATACACTTACGCATGCATGCATACATACATGAATGTATGTGTATTTGGGATTCACATTCAATTTTTTTTTTTCAAAATACGTGAGTATGGTACAGCATAACATCCCTGGAATAACATTTGGAAATGACCCTGTTAACACCACCATTATATCACCACCCCCACCCCGGTGCAGCCATTCAGGAAGAAAGCATAGTGTGCTATTAAGACACTGTAAGGTGTGCTGTTAAGCCACTATAATCTTCTAGCTCTTTTGAAAGTTTTCGGTTTCCACATTGTTGTTATGGACAATAGCTGTATTGCAAGGACTGATTATTTTAATTTGCTGAATCAAAAAATTCACATGTTTTTTGTTTGGGTAATCTGAATCATCTGCTGTAGCTGTAAACATTATCTTGGACTTCCTGATATACACAATACTCCATCAGCTGTATTGTATTATTTTTTTTAGAAAGATATAAATACCCCCCCTTTTTTTTAAAGAGTTTTGGTTGATATAGTCAGGATTTTGGCTGCTTTATTGTTTCTTACTTGAGATTTAAGACATCTTGATCATGAAATTTTGAATGCCTGTTTGTTCCTCTGGTTGCAAATTTGTTTATGCTGTACTTGGAAGTGCAGAGTCTGTTATAACAAGTTTTTGTTAAATAAATTGAAGCTGGGGATTTAGATTTCTTGCTCTAAAAAATAGCACATTTGTATGTGGTTGCTGGGGATTGATAAAGATGCCTTACATGAAACTCATGGTGGGAACTGTTGACCCATACCTTTGAAGGCAAGCAGGTTGGGGAAGCCTATTATCATATATAGAGCAGGAAAATTTAAGCCACTGCTCAGTGTACATTCAATCTGTTTGTTTCTTAGTCACAGTGAAGTGAGACTTTGCCACAGAAAAACTGTAAGAGGAGTTCAGCATGTCTGGGATAGAGTAGGGAGGGTGTCAAGTGTCTGCTAAGTTAAAAAAAAATCAGAAATTGCCAAATTCCTCAGTGTGGATGCAATTGTTCAACACAGCCTATCCGTTGTACGTTATCTGGTATAGTAACAGCAAAATCATATTGCAGTGGCAATAGTGATCAATGCCTTACTTAATACTGAGTTCACTATGTTAGGATATTCATCACTAAATCATTTTAGGTTCACCATAGAGCCATATTAGAAATTTGGCCTACAGTCATGTACATGCCTACCTAAGGGTAAATCTCACTAAACGTAGAGACACTTACCTCTGAGGAGGCATATATAGGTTTGCATTGTCAAGCTCATTTAATTGTAAATTTCTTTTCCCAGGATATTAGGTGAATTAAATTTCAGCATGGTGAGGAGAAAAAGCAGTTGCAGTCTTTAGCATCTGCTATCATTTCTGGGAGTTTAATAGCACCTTCACAATTATACAGGGACTGGTAAATCATTTCTGAGTACTTTATATCAAGAAACCCCTGAGAAAGGGTATCATGAGCCAGAATCAACTTAATGATACACAATTGTTATTGTTATTATTTTACTAAGATTAGAACTCTAGATTGCTTGAGGAACCTCAATAAACAGAGAAACACATTGCAGAAGGGATCTCTCAGCATAGGAGGAGCTACATGTGTTCATCTAATCCTTGTGTCTTTACATTCTTCCTTCAAAGAAGAATATCTCCCCCATATGGCCTTCCCTGGCTCTTAAGATCTTCAAAGGAGATCCCTCTCCTAGTCCTGTCACTTTCACATGCATATTTGGTGAAGAAGCAAGAGAGGACCTTCTTACTAGTTGCTTCCTGGTTCTGGAATCCCTCAGAAGAGTAGCTTAGCCGCCTCCCTCCTTGCCCTTCAGGCAACAGGTGAAGACCTTCTTTTGAAGACAGACTTTCAACAATTGAATTGGGTGATTAAGAGTTCTTGATTTTGGGATGCTACACATTATTATTGTGTGCATGTTTTTCATATGGTATAAAGATGCTTTTAACTATTTTAACATTATATGTTGAACTTTTCAAAAAGTAGTGACTTACTGTATTTTTTAGAAGCTTTGCTTTTTCCGTTGTGCCCTGAGTGATGCAACAGTAGATACTTATACCACTTTCTTAAGTTGAAGTAATTAGCTGCCAAGATTTATGCCAGTTGCATTACACCAGTTTAAAGCACTATCGAATGGTGGCCAGTTTAATTTATGTGAATCAAATTATTTCAGTGGGTCTACTTTAGTTTGGACAGGCAAGGAGACTGAGCACAATAATAACAGACTGTTGCATGTTCCTGAACAAGATGGACCTGTCTCCATAAAAATGAAATTTCAGAACAAATAAAGTTATTTGCCAGAATCATCAAGATAATTTTCAGTAGTCCGTTAGAACTATTAAGTTTCAATAACCTGTCTGTAAGAGGCCCCAAATGACCCCTCCATGAATTTGCACAAAACACTAAGGTTTTATTCGCAACCCAGACACTGAACTAACAAAATTGGGCACAACTTTAGAACAACAGAGTGCCCTAAGCTAACTCTTGTGATGAGAGGCTTACCGATTTTCCTTCCCAGAACATGGAGGGTGGGTGAACCTTTTCTCCTCAAGCAGGTTGAAGACTCCACAGAGGTGGGCCATGCAGGAGGTACAATAGCAAGGGTGGTATATGGTCACTATCACCTTGCAGCATTGTCTCCATGACCTCCAAAGTAGGTGGATGTGTGTGTGTGTGTGGGGGGGTTGCTGTGGCAGTGGCTGGGTGTACGTCTGTTTGGGACGCTGATGGTGGTTCTTCTTGAACCACAGCAGGAGAGGTTGGCACAGGCCTCTTTTGGGTTGCAAGGTTCCAGGAATCAACCTCTGGTGGGGTATCACTGGTTTCGTGATGGCCTTTCCCTTGTCTACAACTCCTCTGATGGTTCAGGTCCTGCTCTACCCACTATGATGGCCTCCAGTTCCACTTAGCACACCATACCCTCTCCGCTTCCTCTGGCGATACAGTCAGCTGGACCCACTCACCAGTTCAGGGGTCTTGCCACAGAATAACTTCCCAGCCAGCCTGAGGATCTAAGCTGGTTTCCTCCAGGGTCTCAGCCTGGCAACTCTCCCAAACTGTCATCTCTGAAGCTTCTGCCCAGCATTCTGCCTCTCCTGCTTGTCCCTTTTATCCTCTTGCACTAGGGGCTTCTTTCCTCCCTCTGGTGGCCCACTGTCTTTTGGCTACTTCTTTGGCATAGCTGCAGTCCATCAGGGAACTGCATGTGGGGAGCTCTTTGGGAGGTTTTGGTGGAAACTGTGGCCCGTTCTGGAATGGTTTGGCCTTGGGAGCGGGTTCCTCACCTATCCTACACCGTCTCCTGTCCAAACCCTTCCTATACCAACAGGAGTCCCATTGACTTCTGAGAGGGTGTACAGACTATCTTTCCAATCCCATTATGACAATTTTTTCCTTACATCTTTTTGATAATTTGGAACATACACCAGTTTCTGCCTTTTTGCTGAAGTTGCCTTCCCTTAGATGTGTTGTGGTTTCAGAATCTGGTTTTCTTGCTTTTGGCTTTGACTATTTGCAATATTAATAGATTTTGAGTGATGGCTTCTCCTGGCAAAATTCAGTCCTTGTGAAGATGAATAGCTCATTGGCTATACATGGGAGGTCCTACATGGAGAAACTTAGTAGTAAAGCACATGCTTTGCATGCAT